TCCAAGGCGCCGCGACACACATTTCTGTTATTCTACCGCTCAGACTTAGAGCTTGCACCTGTATAGGGTATTTTATATATAATATATAGATGAAAATTGTCTCTTTAAAGGAAAAATTCTGTTTACTTTGATGTCATTTTCTTTTTACGAGCTCCTGATTTCAACTTGATGTTACACATGTTTATTTGAACCCTGTGAGGCATATTGTCCTACTTTTGTCCCCAGATTTCTCTGGGCAGGGCCACCAAAGACAACCATGTGGACGTGGACCTGTCCCTGGAGGGCCCGGCGTGGAAAGTCTCTCGCAGACAGGGCATCATCAAACTGAGGTGAGTCCATCGTCACAGACTGTGCTATGGTTATTTTCTCTACAGACTGAGGTTTATCCATTGTCACAACAGACTGAGGTAAGTCTATTCTCATAATAGAGTCAATTCCCACAACTGATTTGGGTAAGTCTATTCTGATAACATACAGCACACCATGATCTATGAGAGTCTATCAGAGCAACATGTCTATTATCACGGTGAGGCCACTGACAGGGAGAGGGGTAGGCAGTCATGTTAAGAACAGGTACATTGCTGAAGCCCACCATTACTGTGGTCACATCCACTGATACCTATCACGTAGTCTGTTTGACCGTTGGGGCATTACTATGGATTTTGCAACCAGCTTCATCCATTCCTTATGGTTCTCAGCTTTCCGCAGTGTGATGTTTCAGTCAAAGCTTGTCCACTCTTTGATGTCTTCCCATCTTTACCTCTGTCTGCCTCTTCGTCGTGTACTCATGTGACGTGCACGTACCTCTGCTGGTGGTGTCGTTTTAGGGGAGTCAGAAGGTCATCGTGTGGTTCGATGGTGTTTCCAGTTTTGGTTCTCACTGCATAATTAGTTATGTGATCTCTATATATGAGATACCAAGGAATTTGCGGAAACATTTCGTCTCCAGTGCTTGTAGCCTTCTTTTGATATCTGCTGTTATGTCTGCTGTTATGGTCCTCCTTTCACATGCATACCAGAATATAGACGTGACCAGGGCATGCTTTAGTTGTCATTAGTATGATCTTGGAGCTGATGGGATGTTATTATTGTTCAAAATGACTTCTAGTTTGGTCACTGCACTGTGGTCACCAACAATAAAATTGCTGGGGTTTTTTTCTTTTCTCTTCTCTTGACATTGTGAACTTTGGGGGACCAGTCATTGCCTGTAAAATGCAATCTGGTTATTATGTCATTCTTCTGTGAGTGCCTGGAATTTCAGGAAACTGTCATTCTGTGAGGATAACCAAGTTTCTGATGTTTACACAGTGGTGATTTCTGCCTTTCAGGAACAGTGGGGAGTTTTTCATCGCTAATGAGGGCAAGCGTCCGATCCTTGTGGATGGGAAGGCGGTGATGGCCGGGAACAAACAGAAATTGAACAATAACTCTGTGGTGGAGGTGAGTCATGTGACCAGAGTGTGTGTGTGTCTGTGTGTGTGTGTGGGGGGGGGGGGGGGGGGTTTGGGTGTGGGTGGGTGGGTGGGTGGCGTGGGTGTGTGTGAGTCTGTATGTGTGTGTGTGTGTGTGTGGTTGGTGTGTGTGTGTGTATGTGTGTGAGAGAGAGAGACAGAGCACCCCTTCTTCTTTTTTATGTTTGTGACTCTCTTGTAACACCTCGCATCTTCTGGCGCTCATATGGCCTTATGCAGTTGCGAGTGCTTTAAAACCTCTACTAAAACTAAAGCTAAAAGACCTGTAGTGGAACTTACTATACTAGACTGACACTGGAGCTCATAGATTACCCCACCCTCACCTCTAGCAGCAGCAATGTGTACACTATCAGACCTTTCTATACCCCCCGGGGCGGTAGTGCTACTGACTGAAGTGTCTTTAGACCATTCCCAAAGGGAGGACATTTCTCGTTCTAATGCACAGTAGAATTGTAAATGGGCTGATCCAACAACATGCTCATAACTGTGCCTGAACTACAACAGGGAATTCATGCTTTTTCTTTCCTAATCCTTACTGTCGTCATTTTCTTCTACTTCTTTTGTATGTTTGTCACACTCTTGTGACCCGCTATTTCCGGGGTGCCTTGATAGTTGAAGCAGACTTTGTGCTGTTGAAGCTAGAAAGGTGAGCAGAGTAAGTGTGATTCCCCGTAAGGACTTCTCTGTTGACATCCACCCCTTGGCGCTCTTATGACCTTATGCAGTTGCGAGCGCCGTAAAACCTCTACTAAAACAAACAAAAACAACAAGACTTTTCTATTTCAGATCTCCTGTCTGCGGTTCACATTCCTCATGAACCAGGACGTCATTAATGGCATCCGGTCGGACGCGTCCAAGTCAGGATCTTCCTCAGTGGCTTCCATTTCCTGACAATCCATGGTCCCCGTCACCTAACAGCATTGGACCCTCCCCCTGCACATTGTACTCCAGTCTGGTGGTCATGTGGGAAACCAAATAACTGAGAAACCTGGCCATCAAGTGCGACAAAGTGTTGAGAAACTTGACGTCAAGTGCGACAAAGTGTTGAGAAACTTGACGTCAAGTGCGACACAGTGTTGAGAAACTTGACGTCAAGTGCGACACAGTGTTGAGAAACTTGACGTCAAGTGCGACAAAGTGTTGAGAAACTTGACGTCAAGTGCGACACAGTGTTGAGAAACTTGACGTCAAGTGCGACAAAGTGTTGAGAAACTTGACGTCAAGTGCGACAAAGTGTTGAGAAACTTGACATCAAGTGCGACACAGTGTTGAGAAAGCTGGCCATCAAGTGCGACACAGTGTTGACCTAGGCCTGTTCAGTTGTTAATCACGTTCTCTTTGAGTAGTTGAAATAGAAGCAAGTACTGTTGTACAGATCTTTTGTAAAGAGAATGTGAAGAGCCAAAATGTGTTCATTTATTGTTTGTTTGTTGGATTGTGTCGGTGGAAAAGAAATTTTAGTGTGTTTAGTGGACTGAATGCAGTGGTGTATGTTTTGTACATATCAGTACTCATTATGTGTTTGTACTATAGCCCTTTCTTTCTACAGAAGCATAAGGGTACAAAAATCTGATGTGGCAATTTCATGTATGCATTCAGGTGGTTTGTGCTGTAAGTCTTTGAGTTACTTCACTCTGTTGCAGACAAGTTTTAAATGCCTGCAACCGGGGTCTGCAACCTCGTCAGCATAAGTGGGAAGACGTGGAATAACATCAAGAGGCTAGCTCAGGATAGAGAAAGGTGGAAAGTGTTTGTTCGTGGTGGTGAGAAAGGAGATGATGATGATGATGATGATGATGATGATGATGATGATGATGATGAAGAAGAAGTTATTGACCTTGGTTTTTAAAGAAATCTGCCCTTGTGGCTAGCAACAGTTACAGAGTGAGCATATGTGCAATCAGACTTTTGAAATAAATAATTAACTATGCGGGGTGATGCAGGTAGGTGTGTCTGTTTCTCATCACTCATGTGTACATTGGTCTGTACTCAAAACCAGCCAGGGAGTGTCATTTTGCAATGCATGAAACATTGCATAGGATAGTGATGGTAAAGCTAGTAAAGCAAGACTTATGATAATTAACCCTCTCCGTACGTCATGTTTTCCTATCGTATCTATACGACGTGGGGAACTTTGTGCTACCACTTTCCAAAGAAGAAATTTACTCATTAATCCAATCCGTACGCTTTGCATAATAGTCTGTCGCAATAATTTTTTGAGAAATACTGAAAGTTTCAAAGAGATCTTTGCACTAAAAGTATTCTAAAATGCGAAGAATACAACCCCGGGGGTACAAAATGACCCCTGGGCGTACGGATAAGGTAATAAATAGAGGGGCGTTGGGCCAGACAGCAACCGTCAGTAGCCTGGAACGTGCCGGAGGTGGCCAACCCTTAACTTACAAACGTATTTTTTGTCTTTTGTAGCTTCTGAGTTTGACCAATATCACTTGTTAACGCACTGCACCCCAATTTGCCAGGGATTGACCATAAATTTCTCTCTACTCATCGTCCTAACGTGGCCCGGATTGCCTGCTCAGACCAGGCATCCCTAAAAACAAAGTCTTGATGAGACTTTGGGGGCGGAGATTTTGTATTATAACACAATTGTTACTAAATGTTTTTCCTTTGGTTTGATACCAAAACAGTTTTTCAGGCCAGTAGTTCCAGTGCTAGAGCTGATGAAAGTATGACCTCGGTGTGACACTAAGGTGATTTGACGAGTTGTAAAGCGATACAGATGAGCTAGAATTTTAAAATAGTGAAATTGAAGGAAAAATACTTCCATACACAATAACGTGGATAGGGGCTTTAAACTTCATGCAGGAAATCCTGGTTATGTTCAATCACCTGCCTTTGTGTATGCAAACCTGATGATGATGGCAGAAAATCATCTTCTGGAACCACTTTTTATGACTCATTGAAGAAAATGCCTTGTTTGTTAGACCTTTGAATTGAATGTTATTATGTATATTATTTGAATGTCAGATAAGGCAAAGTTACTGGATACAAGCTTTTTCTGTATTTCAATGTTTTCAGTTTTCACTTCCTTGAGCTATTTGATGTGTTTTTGTGAAGTTCCTTACCAAGAAATTGTCTATGAATTGAGTTATGGAGGTGCCTATGGTAACAAATACAAAATAAAATTGACATCTAAGCATCTAACACTGATAAAACATGTGCATGAAAAGGGAAATTTAGTTTTGGAGCAACTACTGTCATTGTTTGTAGTTGTTTAAAAAAAAATGTTCCATTCATGCTCTGGTTGGAAGTGGTGTACATGTATATAAAGCTCTCTCAGTCTAGATTTTGTTATGAGTACAATTTTATAAATAAAAGCGTTGATTTTTAAAAAATCGACAATGTCTAAAAAGTATTTTTATAACTTGACTTTTTGGTTCGAAAAACGAATGTAGGCTACTTCTTGAAATTTATTACTTTCAGGTAGATTGTGCTGAACAGTAAAATGTTTGTCAAATATAGGAGAACATGGGCCCCTAATCTTACATTATCTGTTTAATTTGACAGCCCTTTCAACACAGTGTGGGTAATAACTAATAGATGGAGCAAGGTAGGTAGAGGACTTTGGAATTGAATACTCAAAAGGAATTCAAATCAGGGCTATTTGAGATTTGCACCATAGCCCAGAACCCTCTGAACTAACAGTGGTCCCAGCAATTTTTTTTTAGTGGAACACACAAAAAGTGTACACTCATCATAGTTTTTGGAAGAGAAGAGTTTAAATCTGTACATGTTTGTGCATGTCTCTTGCTTCTGTAGCTACAGTGGGAGCAGTCTCTGCTCTGTGATTGCACTACTGTATATGGTGTCCATTATGGCTTTCTTCAGGAACTGGTGGTCGTACAGGGAAATATTCAAATTGCTTTGGAGGGTATTAACTCTTTAAGTATGCAACGGATTCCACAATTTTACGCACACAGGCGCGAAGGGTGTTATTTAATTTAATTAAAGGTATGGGACGTGTATTTACTCCCAGACCCCCCCCCCCCCCCCCAACCATGCAGTATTTACACGGACAGTTTTAGGATACCAATCTGGCTTATGATAACCCGACCATACTGGTGGAGGAATTACTAAAACATAAATTGTTGAAAGTGCCCACCGCACTTTAGTTCGTGAACGCACGTGCCATGAGGTCAGCGTGACCCCGGGGTCAGAGTCCGGGCAACACGCTGCCGGTTCACCGCTACGGTAAGAATGAATTTTTTTTGGGGGGGGGGGTTATTAAGATTTCACTCAATAATAATAATCAGTAGCTTTTTCTTAAGATAGTGAAAATAAATAAAAGCATAAAGATGTGGTTTCTTAGGAGACATTGAGGATTAATTAATAGAAGGAAATGAAATGAGGCAATGGTGAAAGAAGCCATACAGTAATGCGAAGTATTAGGAAGAGACACATGCAGTTTCTATTACATTTACAGTTGAATCGACATAAACGCCTTGAACATCTCTCTCACTGAAAACAAAAATAGAAGGAAAAAGAGGCAGACGTAGATGGTCAGAAGACCAAGAACAACGTACGAACTTGAATTGTGGGTGACGGGGAAAGCATTATTATATGCAATGTTTTTTTTTAGAGCGCCCACACAGAAATTAATAGTGAACCATGATCGACGATGTCTGTTTCAGGTTTAGTTCTTCGGGAAGATGCTCTTATAGTAGTAAGTTATAGTGAGCTTTCATTTACGTGGCTAAAAGACTGTTCTATATGGCGAATGCTAACGGAGAGCAAGGAATACTTGGTTTTGAAAACAAACTATATATCTAGTAAACAGCGATCAAGCAATGGTTAAAGTAAACTTTCATGACACAGTGAGGGAAGCGCCAGATCGGGTGTGGGCCTATATCAAGGAGGTTCTACTAAGGTCCAGGGGGCTCTCGTAGCCTAGAGGTTAAGGTGTTGGCCCCTCATTCAAAGGTCCCGGGTTCGAATCCGGGTCGCGACCGAAAAATTTTCTTCTCTAAAACTGTCTCCTTTCACCTCCTTTCCTGCTCTCTAGCAATATTCTTTCGTCTGCTTTCGTCTCCTCTTTCTGCCCCCACCCTCTCACCTCTTTCGCCCCCTCCCCTGGGCTCCTGAATCTTTCTGCAGCCTTTCTACTGCTACTCCTTGACTCATTCTTACAACTGTCTTTCTGCCACACCCCTGATCTTCTGGTAGGAAAGATCTACACGTAGCCTTCTCGGACAAGGACGAAAAATCTCGGAGGGCCCATGTGCAAGTTGCGCACGTTAAAGATCCCTTGGTGGTCTAAAATCGATAAGAGTAGGCTTCGGCCGCCACCCGGGCAAATTTCAAAATTTCCTACCAACTAAAAGTATTAGGTGTGTCCCGCGCGCTCATATGACCTTATGCAATTGCGAGCGCCGTAAAACACTTTACAAAAACAAAAACAAACAAACAAAACTAAGGTCCTTGTGTATTTGACCCCACGACGCAATAACCGCGTCTGTTGCGGCTTCCCCTCCACTCAAGGCCAAAGGGTATGGGGCATCGCGAGACAATGAATACCGGGGAATAGAGTAAAATTTCAGCATAACTTATTGATTGTACTGAAAAAGTATTCTCGACTACTATTTAACTTAATACAGTAATTGGTGTAATATTTACTTTCAATAACTTGGAGTCTCAGTAAGAATTGTTACCATCTTAAACTTTTTATCTAAAATGCTCCTGTGTAAAAAAACGTCCTTTTCTCAGCGTTCACTTTTCAAGGGGTGTTAGTGTCAGTAGTGATTTACAGTTCGTGTACAACGGACATTTTACGTTGTGAGAGTAAAGAACATGGCAAACAGTGATAGTTTTACCAGGAATACAAAACTTAATCAGCGCAGTGGGATTGCAAGTTGATAAGATTGTCGCAGAGTTACATGTTACGAGTACAAAAGTATTAATTGTTAGTATAGCCGCCAGTGGGCGCTTGCAACCTCTTCTCTCTCTCTCTCTCTCTCTCTCTCTCTCTCTCTCTCTCTCTCTCTCTCTCTCTCTCTCTCTCTCTCTCTCTCTCTCTCTCTCTCTCACACACACACACACACACACACACACACACACACACACACACACGCGCGCGCGCGCTGTGATGAATAACGCGAATTATATTGCTCGACAACCTTTCCTGTCGCCACGATTTTTACCACAGTAGCCTACTACAATCAAAATTTAATCTATTACTATTATTATGAGCATGAGTTGGGGAAGAACTTTGTTGTCCTATTGTTTTGCGGTCCCGACAGTAAAGTTGATCTTCGGGTGAGTTGATCTTTTTTCATTCTCCCGATAACATCAACTCCTCCGTAGTCGGCTGTATTGGTCCAAAGTATGCCTGAGATACATTTATTTACAACAGTTGTCCTCAGTCAAGTACTTATCACGTTGCTAGTTACGTCTAAAAGCTCACGAATCAACAGGATATTTTTTCCCTTTCAAACAAATATGACTCAAAATGGATCACGATGTATATTACTACATCAACGTGTACATGTACACATAAAGGTCTGGTCTATTTTGGGTTAGGACGTACTAGTTGCTAGTAAATATCGACCTTCTGGGAAGGTTAATAAGAACCACAGGCTTAGGGAGCCTTCTTCGTGAAAGAAATAAAAAAAAAAAAAACCGTAGTGGGTGGTTGGCGAGTGCTCTGGCGTGGTTTGCTCCTTCTTTCCTATAAAACATCTGTCGTCCTCATCTCTCCTCCTCATTCTTGTTGTGTTTGTTACTCTCTTGTAACACCTCTAATCTTTGTCACTTATATGACCTGATTGTGTTGCAAGTGCCGTAAAATACTTCCTAAAACTAGCAATGGTTTGGATTAGTATACCTAAACACTATGCCCGTGTGGCACAACTTCTCAAGGCGTGCGAAGTCCATTGGTGCTGGTATCCAAATCAGCAACACAACTGACGATTTCCATTAGGCTTACTTTATGAAAGTTACACGCGTAAACCCTGGGGGTACGTATGTCTCAAGCAGAGCCACGGTGCGCGTTCAGGGTATGAAGCCCCGAAAAAAAAGACTTTTTTTTGGCAAGCGCTTTACGGCGCTCGCAACTGCATAAGGTCATATGAGCGAGCGGGACACACCTAACAATAACATTTTTAGTTGGTAGGGCATTTTGAATTTTGTCCGGATGGCTGCCGAAGCCTACTCTTATCAATTTTGGACCACCAATGGATCTTTAACATGCGCAACTTGCAAAGGGACCTCCGAGATTTTTCGCCTTTGTCCGAGAAGGCTAGGTGTAGATCTTTCCTACCAGAAGATCAGGGGTGTGGCTGAAAGTGAAAGACAGCAGTAAGAAGGAACCAAGGAGTAGCAGTGGAACGCCTGTAGAAAGAGTCAGGAGCCCAGAGGAGGGGGCCAAGGAGGTGAACGGGTGGGGGCAGAAAGAGGAGACGAAAGCAGACGACAGCATAGAAAAGGAGCTGAAAGGAGAAATATTTTTAGAAGAATTTTTTTTTTCGGTCGCTACCCGGATTCGAACCCGGGACCCTTGAATGAGAGGCCAACACCTAAACCTCTAGGCCACGGGAGCCCGCAGAAAGACTTTTGTTCATGTGTAGTCGTCAAAATATGTCCGAAAACATTTTGCTTTGCCGTGTTTATCAACTGAAAAGAACCCAGAAATCCAGGCCTTCAGCCAGAATAAGATAGATCTATCTCACTCTTAAAACCGACCCGGGCTTCAAGCCCTCGATCTACCGTGTATTTACTGCCAGCTCCCCCCCCCCCTCCTCTGTGCGGGTTTTTACACGTACCCCGCGCATTTACAGTCAGTCTTAATTAAAATGGCTACAATTCAGTCAACAATGAATATCAATGGATTTGTTTGAGCCTTCAAACTATTCGTTATTAGATAGAGAATCACAATACGGTAGGACCAGGTGTAGATCAAGGGGTTGGTGAGATCGGTGGAGCCAAAAGTGGCTATCCCAAACCAATGAGTTTAATGAAATTTGTTTTGACTTCTAAAAGATGGTGAGATGGTATGCTTCTCAGAAGGATGTCTTCTTTATGTGTGTATGAATAAGAAAACTTGATCTGATGTTTATATGAAATGAAGCGATATAATGAGGAAATGTATATTATATATAGCTTAGCCCCAGTCTAGGTCGAGAAGGTCTTATAAGGCCCGGTCGGTTACACGTAACGATAAATTGTACGAAAACTGGATGATCTAGCGATCATACGATAAATTGTTAGGTGTAACCACAAAATTTTACAAAATTTGGACGATTGGACCAGAGAGTTTACAGTAATACTGTATGTGTAAGTAAACCCTCTCTGATTGCGCTGCTTGATATGTTCCGTGCGATCACGTTTAGATTTGGGCCTGACGCGCAGTGACGTTGAATCACTTGGAAATTTGCCGCGGCGCTAGATTAAACTCGCGCCTCAAAAATTTTAAAATAATTATCGTAGGGAAAAACTGATTTCATATCCGGAATCAGGGTCTCAAAAAAAGCGACATTGACCGCGATGAACCTGATTTGGTGCGTTATTATGCATATTTTAGCAATTTTATTATAGTTGATCGTCAATGGTGAAGCTGTGCATCAAGGTCACTCGGTGCGTTGCACATCAGCAGTCAAGTCAAAGCTTCCGGTTCTGCACAAAACACGGTACAGTATGACCACCCTTTTCTAAAGACGCTGTTCTGCTATATCAAAATGTGCAGGGGAAAGGGGGGGGGGGGACCTCTCGTGATATAGAGATATAGTGTTCGCCTTTCATTCATTAAGTCCCGAGCTCGAAACCTTCACACAGAGAGCAGGCAAATCGCTGTTGTCGCAAAGAGACATGGTGGCTTTAATCTATGACGAGGAATCTCCTCGATCGAAAGAAAACTGGACGATAGATTGGAACCTGTAAACAGACAATACAGTTCGATAAAACGGACAGTTCTCTCATACGATGAATCTGATACAATTTATCGTTGCGTGTAACCGGGGCTTCAGATTTCCATGTCTCTGAAATGATTGTGGCTTTTTAAAGTCCTAGCACGGAAGACTGGAGTTCAATTTCTTGAGGTTGGAAAGTTATTCTAGTTTTAGCAAGTGTGCTGTGATGCTGTATCCCTGCCAGCCCTTAGTTCGTTTAGACAGGCAGGTTCGAAACTGGTAGCTTCATGTCTGATGTAAGTTCTGACGATGGGGGCATACAGAATGTACAATAAAGAATCAAACATTTTATGAAGGATAAAAGTACAATACATAAAATGTCTTGCAACAAAATGGAATGAAGAAATAAATGTTTGCTGAAGACCATAGGTTAGGGATGTAGACCAGAGTGCATTTTATTGATTCTTCCATTGGATTTCTCTCATTTGTAGGCTTCTAGATTTTTGGTGAAGGAATAATTATGTGTATGAATGTTTTTGCAAGTGTGTGTGTATGTGTGTATGTAGATGCCACATATGCTTTTTTGCATTATTACATATATAATATATAATAGCATTGCCTTTCTTACAGATGAGTACGCTTTTTTTTCAACATTTGACGAAGTTTTGCCCAGAAATAATTTCCTAGATCGTCAATTAATATAATTTTTTTGGATGAGTTCACATTCAATGTAGGATTTCACCTGAGAGAGGACTCACTTGTGGCATGTTATGGATGATATTTTGACGAGATGCTACTATTGTTTCACTTGCAACCTTGCCCATCTAAAGCTGAGACTTTGAATAGTATCTTGTGTGGAGAAAGTAAGACCGGTAGATTCTAGCTGGAGGTCTTATGTCTTCCCCTCTGATGACTTTTGATAATACTGAAGTACAATGAGTTTCCATGGTGTCTTTACCTTTAATGGCCTGTCTTTGATGCCAGAGATGGACTCAAATTGTACATGTTCTGTGACCGAAGACTCTTTCCCCTTGAGAGTTTGAAGTAAGCTGTCCTTTCAGTATAGTTTTATCGTAGCGTCTGTTTTTCTTTTCCCATCGTCTCTGCCAGTCTCTGGACAAGAGTTAGTGTATTTCCTACAAAAAATGTTGCAAACCGGCTACATCAGGTCCTGAGCGCTCGAAAGTACAACAATAGTTTCCTCATTGAGTAGAATTAACCTCCAAACATTACGGACTTCGCGGGCCTCTTCGACGGTGAACTGTGCTCCCCCCAAAAAACGACGACGTCATAGCCGTGTGGTATGGACGCAAGTTGTGGTGTGGCTGGTGGCGGCGTGGGTAGTGTGTTACCAGATCTCGGTGGACTTGATGCGGTTCACGTCCATGCTGGAGTAGGAAGAGACCTTGGCGTAGGGCACAAAGACAGAGGCAG